AAAAAAAAAGGACAATAAATATTGCTTCTCAGAAATGTTGGTATTTTGTTTCTGTCTGACTCAAAAATGTCCATATTTTTACCACTCTTACCTCTTCATTCTAAGCAGAGCTATAATAAACCTCATGTCATTTTAACATGATCTTTCGTTTCATTTTGCCTTTACTAGCTAAATTCGGAGTAAAGCTTTCCCTCTTCCAAATATTAGCCAGTAAAACAAAATGTTCTGTATTATTACAAGGCTACAAGAACAGGAACTATTTATTTATTTATTTATTGTCYGTGATATCCCCACTCCTCTGTTACTACACTTTTTCACTTCTATATATGTKCAGGTGTATATATATGCATATTTATTCTGTAATATACAGTTCGGGTATGATGTTCTTATTTACAATGCAGGATTATTTTCTACCTTTACGACTACCATTGCAACACCCTATAAATACCAGAAAGAAATATTAAAAACAATCTCTCTCACCACCAGCCGCCCCGCATCCCCCCCCCCCCAAAAAAAAAAAAAAAAAAAAAAAAAAAAAAAAAAAAAAAACCCAAAACTAACCAACCAACCAAAAAGCATAACCCAATCGACTTTACTTGGGAGTATATGATTAGTCTGGGTGGATCCTCATCTCCAAGGCTACCCTGGAAGCACCCTGGAGCAATTCAGGATTTACCATGCGTTTGGGCAATGGGATTGAGAGGGCGGATTAGGGTCTCCCGAATTTTTATTACTTTTTTTTTTTTTTTTTTCTTTGTCGCCCTAACACTTTTGTCCGTGTGAATGGTAACTGCAAAGGACTGTCACATTCCCCCTTCTCACATCTCAGCTGATCACTGATGCCCTAAGTGGGGGCAGCGCTTTCCAAGCACATTTACCGTGGCGAGTGTTCTAGTTAACCCCCCATGCTGAGGACTTTGATTAACCTGTTGGTTTTCAGAGAAGGACCTGTAGACGAAGAAATGTAAGACCCGTTAAAACAAAAACAAACAAACACAGTAACAAAAGGATTGGGTTTTGGCGACTCAGTGTTTCTCTCCTGGG